AATCTCTGAGACTGCACCGATTAACCATCTCAACTTCCCAAACTACGAGGTGCACTCCAATCTGAGAAAGAACGGGGGAGTTGTGGCTTTTGTCCGCAGCAGTATTTCCTGCTCCAGGGATCTTTCTTTGGAATCAGACCGGAAGGACATTCTGTGGCTTCGCCTCAACTCCAAAACAGCACCCAAATTTATTTGCTGCCTTTATCGCTCTCCCTCGAACCATAACTGGGATGACCTACTCGAATACCTCGCCGTCCAGATCGACTTCCTGAACATCAATCACCCCGCTTCAGAGGTAGTTCTTCTCGGTGATTTCAATGCCCATAATGAGCTTTGGTTGGGCTCAAATAAGACCGATGCAGCAGGTCATGCAGTCGAAGCGATTGCTCTTACTCAAGGGCTGACCCAACTGGTGACGAGCCCTACTTTTTTCCCCCGCATCTCGTCACACGCCAGTAGCCTGCTGGATCTCTTTCTGTGGCACGCTGCCCTCTTAAGCAAACTTCCATCCTACGGCCTCCCAGAAAAGCTTTGCAGATGGGTGGCTGACTTTATCTCTGGCCGCAAGATATCCGTCGTAATTGACGGATTCTCCTCTTCATCCCACAACGTCAACGCGGGTGTTCCCCAGGGATCGGTCTTGGCTCCAACACTGTTTCTCTTACATATCAACGACCTCCTTTCCTGCACGATCAACCCAATCCACAGCTTCGCTGATGACAGCACTCTACATGCAGGAATTCAGAGTAACAAGCCGATCTGTGCCGCTGAGCTAGAAAAAAGAAGACTAGCGACGACTTCTTCTCTGACAAGAGACCTGGAGGCTATCACTGCTTGGGGACGCAACAATCTTGTACAGTTCAATGCTTCCAAAACACAGTACTGTACTTTGACGAACAAAAAGCGTCCTAGCGCTCATACAGTTTCGATGGACGGTCGAGTTCTACCAAAGAGCCATTCATTTCGGCTGGTCGGAGTCCAGATCACCGAGGACCTGATCTGGCACGAACACATCTCTTCAATAGCTGCAGCTGCTGGGAAAAAGCTAGGCTATTTGTTTAGGGCTAAGAAGTACTTTTCTCCGCATGACCTTCACACTCTATACAAGGCCCAGATAAGGCCTAGCCTCGAGTATTGCTCACACATTTGGGGTGCTGCCGCCCCGACTACATTGTCCATGCTCGATGCTGTCCAGAGGAGGGCGGTCCGACTGATCGATGACTCTTCTCTAACAGACAGTCTTGGGACTCTTTCGCACCGGCGGGTCGTCGGCGATCTAGCTCTTTTCTATCGCTACACCAACGGGCTTTCCTCCTCAGAGCTCTCTTCCATGCTGCCTCCGCGCGATGTGCCTGCCAGACAGACCCGCCTGACTTCGGCGTCCCATCCTAACCGTGTCAAACTTCGTACATCCAGAACTGGCCGATACGACCGCTCCTTTGTCCCGAGGGTGTCTAGATTGTGGAACAATCTACGGGCGGAAGCTTTTCCCAGTTCTACCAACCTTAGGCAGTTCAAAAATTGTATTAACAAAATTTCTTTGGGATCATCATAGCAGCCGCGGTGTTCCGGCATTTAGGCTTCTGCCTGCGCGGCTGTCGATATAAAAAAAAAGGCCTATTACCAAAAAACTATTTTGAGCTCACATAATGCAGTTAAATCTGCCTGGAATGTAGTAGGTGAACTTAGTGGAAAAAATAAAACATAAAAAAACTTACGTACTGGACGAAAATGGGCAAACTATTACTGATCCTCAGGAAATAGCCGATCACTTTAACAAGTAGGTACTTTAAAAATGCTCCTCTAGAAATTATAGAGAAAACATCCAGAAATATTGACACAGTTCCTAACTACAACGATACGGTTAGGGAACACATGTATACCCATTTACGGAAGAAGAATTCTTTAATCTGATCGACAAAAGGTTAAAAAACAAGCGTTCCTCAGCAAGCGTACTTCAGTTGGCCCAACTATTGAAATCTTAGTTTTTTTCTTATTAAACACAAATAATAAAAATATAGCAGGGCGTTATAGGTTTAAAATATTAACAATGAATATTTTGATAATATAGAGTAGAAAACACCAACTTTATCACTCCCTAATCAAATTTTCAGCATAAAAATAACACATGTTGCAATTACAGCATATCAACCTATTTTCATTTCAATGCAAAATAAGTCTATAACGCATAGGTGGTGAAAAATAAAAGCCATGACAATTGTTTTTATCAATCACAGCTGTCAGAATACGTTTAAAATAGTTTTGGGTAGTTAAGGTTTTCAAAATGGGTAGAGGAAAGGTTATTAGTGAGAAAATCCAGTTACTGGTAATTAATTTTTTTAATTCTGAGAAATCAAACTCAGAAATTGCAACTTTGTTAGACTTATCGCGGTACAGTCTGAGAAATATTGTATAAATATAATGTGTAAATAACGTAACTGGTTCAGTTAATATTAAGCCACGATATGTGAAAAAAAAGTAATATCACAAATGCCGACCGAAGAGCATCAAGAAGAATAATCGTGAAAAACAGGCGTGCCAATTATTTACAATTAAGTGCTCTGGGGAGTGACGCTGTTGGAAGGCGAATTTCGAGGTCCACAAACAAATATTTGGCAATTTTAGAAGAATCGCTTTTACCAGTGATGGAAGAATGTTTGACATCCGGCCAAGATTTTATGTTTCAGCAAGATGGTGCAGCGTGCCATACCTCAAAAAAGGCTATAAAATGGATGGAAGAAAATAATGTACCACTTTTGAAATGGGTTTCTAGCAGTCCAGATCTGTCACATATTGAAACTTTGTGGCACGAGATGAAAAAGGTTCTACGACAACATCCTGCTCGTACAATCCCTGACTGAGACAAAAGCTTCAAGAAATATGAGATTGTTTTACACCAAATTTTTGCCAAAACTTGGTTAACACTATGCGCCAAAGAATTTCAGCCGTAATAAAAGATAAAGGTGATGTTATCCAATGGTAATCTTTCAATTGTTGCTTTGGTAACTTCGCGCATTTATTCGCACATTGTTTATTTGTTCTATTAGTTATAGGTCTAAGTGATTTCAAATATGTATTTTTTATGACTAGAGTGTATCTAAAGTGTTTTTGAGAAAATAAATTGTTTCAGAAGTAAATAGTTCCGTCATGTTTAGTTTATAAAGGCATATTTTGGTACAAATCTTGAAGTGGGCCAACTGAAGTGGGAAGGGGCTCGTATTGTTAGGCCCTTTGTTTTTCTGATCAGTCTGTTTTTCTGTATTGGCTCTTTTCCAGATAGCTTAAAAATGGGAAATGTAACTCCCATACACAAGAAGGGAGAAACTGTTAACGCAAAAAATTACAGACCGGTGACGTCTCTCTGTTGTTTTTCCAAAATTTTCGAATACTGTTTCTTGAGTCGGTTGACGCTGTTCCTTGAAAGAAATACGGTACTAACATCCAACCAATATAATTTCCGTAACGGTAGCTCAACACTAACAGCGACTCATTCTTTCTTCAGTACATTGAGGCAGGAGAGTGCCCTGTTGGTATCTTCTGTGATCTTCGACTGTGTCAACCATGATCTCTTATTAATAAAACTGGCAACCTATGGAATCGGTGGACCAGCCTACCTCTGGATAAAATCCTTCTTAGAAAACAGATCGCAGTATGAGACAATAACTCATAACTGCTCAGGACAACTTATACAAGTCAAGTCTCGTTGAATAAATATGGATGTTGGCGTTCCGCAAGGATCTGTGTTGGGGCCTGTTCTGTTTGCATTATATGTAAATAACCTTGAGCAATCCTTCCGCAGAGCACACTTTACCTTATACGCGGACGACACATCGATTATTCTATCAAATAAAGATGACGTTATCCTAATTAACGACTGTAACAGCTGGTTACATAGCATCAATAGCTGGTTCGTGGAGAACCAGCTGCATCTAAACTGTGAAAAATCAACAGCAATAAGATTCCACAATTCCCAAAAATCAATACCTCCCCTGCAGCTTACATTGGATAATTCAGTCCTGCCCATCAGTGAGAGCACAACATTCTTGGGACTGCACCTGGATGAGTGTCTCAATTTTAAAGGACATTGTGACTACCTATTTAAAAATCTGAAAACAGTTTTTACACGCGACCAGTTATTGATGTTATATCATAGTCATGTCGCGAATGCGGTAGGGATTGTGTTTCTGGGGTTCCTCGGTGAATGCTTCAAAGGTATTTCGAAGTCAAAAGAGAATAATAAGGTGCATAGCAAGTGTTGACAGTATATACAGTTGCAGAGAATTAAAAATTCTAACACTGCCCTCGTTGTTTCTTCATGGAATGGCAATATACACCTATATTAACACAGATAATTTCACTTTGAATAGTAATATAAATACATTCAATACTCGTAGGCAGCACGACATTCATCTACCCTTTGCTCGATGTAAGCTGGGTAGTAGATCTCCCTCTATTTTAAGACCAAAGATATTCAATAAGCTGCCTGAGTATATTAAGACAATTAGCTCCTTAAATAATTTTAAAGCTGAGTTAAGAACCTACTTTATTAATACTACTTGTTGCGCCATCAGTGACTTTGTGGATATTTAGATGTTCTTTTTTTGTATTGTCTGTTATCCACTTGCTTGTCCTTTTATATATTTTTATATTGTATTTCTGTTAATTTATTAATTTTAACTGCTGGAAAGCCAATCTATTTTATCTGCTGTTGTTTGCATATGGTGTCCATTTTAAAATATCTAATTTAAGCTATTGCTTGTCATTTTACTGTTTGTTTTTTTATGTACGTTATATACTGTAAATTGTTTGTTGACGAACCCTATCCATGTTTTATACATGTCTAATGGGTAATAAAGATTATTATTATTATCTTTTCTAAGCCTGCAAGATGAACTCTTTACTACTTAGTGTATTTATTTCGTAGGTGACTAGATCGTAGAACAAAGAAGGAAGTTTGCGATTTATTTTATGTTCCAATTTGATTTTTATTTTTGTTTCAGATGTCGTTCATAATGCGCCTATTGTCCGCCATAAATTGGTGCGCCTACGATTTACTGTGTGTGTCCAGTGATCATTATCAGACTGTGTGTAAAATTGAGTGCCCCTATTAAGCGACAGGACAGAAGAGAACCCCTCAGCCCCCCTCAGCGTGACGCTGCCGGACATCGCATTGTAACACGACCTACTGTGATACAGATTGAGCATCGTTTTCGAGAAATTCGGAAAACCAGGCGTTAGAAAATATTCCTTTTTGAGGCATCTACCTGCCCCATTGTATGGGTAAGTAACACGCTCTTGAATATAAGCTGACCAGTACAATTTCCGAATAGAAAAGATATACTGGGCGCGAAACAACTGCACAGCTTTCGAGTCTCAAGGCAAAACTTTACACAAGGAGCTTTTTTCCTTGCATTTCCAGTTTTACTTCCTGTGCTGCCGGCGAGGCAGTATTGTAATCGCGACAAATTTCGAGAATAAGATATTGGGGGTGTTATACCGGGTGATTTAAATTCGACCCTTACCAGTGGGATCTCAGAAACTGTAAGAGATACGAAGTCGCTTAAATGGGGGCAAAGTTGCGCATTTAGCTTAATAACAAAATACCGCTTAGAAAGTTTCTAAATTCATAGTGCTTCCAGGAAGAGACGAAAACAGCCGAATTTTTTAAAATCGTTTTAATTCATTCCTGACTTTATTTGTAGTCGGATTTCAAAATAAATTGCACATAAAAATTGTCACATTTCCTCCTCTACAAGATGGCATAATTAGAATTTCAATATAACGTTTCGTCTCTTGTCCTCCAGCGTGAATTTATGTTTTTGTTAGGGACACCATATTGGATTTTTGCACAGGTGAATTGAGTTTTTAATTCTGATTACAAAAATGTATAATACGTCATACATTGCCAAACCTTAGTTATTTTCAAAAAAACAGAATTTCTTAGATAAGGCTTGAAATTATCAGATAGTCATTCGTTTTGTATGCCAGATTTATTCCAAAATCACCTTTATTTTTCCTGCCCTAAAATGGGATTTCAAAATAAATTGCATATTGTTATTGTTACTTATGCTCTTTTACAAGACGGTGTAGTCAAATTTTCAATTCGACATTTCTCCTTTTGACTTCCTACCCCAACTTTGTTTTTTCATATGGACGCTATATTGGAATTTTGTACATTTAAATGAACTGTTCAGTCCTAAAAACAGTGTTGTATTTCCTTACTTGTCCATGAGTTTGTTGTTGGATGAAAATTAAAAGGAAATAAAAAGGTATGGTGAAGCCTGAACACAAAATGAAAATTTTATTGCAATAACCATAATAATAAATAAGAAGAAGTAAATCAAAAAAGAATGATGGCTGGAAATCGTGCCATATATGCGCTGAAAGGGCTAATGAAAAGCCAAATTGTATCCAGGGGAGCTAAACTCAGGCTCTACAAAACGTTAATAAGGCCAGTGGTCACGTATGCATGTAAAACCTGAACGATAACAAAGGCAGAACAAGCAAAGCTGGAGATATGGGAACGGAAGGTGTTAAGGAAGATTTTTGGTGGCAAAATGTTAGATGATGGTACGTGGACCCGAAGAACAAATGATGAGTTGAAAGAACTGTTTAAAGAGCCCAACAAAACGGCGGTCATAAGAGCTCAGAGGTTGAGATGGTTTGGAGACGTGCAAAGAATGGCAGAACATAGAGTACCAAAGACACTGCTTACCCATTCAATAGGAGGAAAGAAAAGGAGAGGAAGACCTAGAACGAGGTGGAAAACTGAGGTGAAAGATGACCTGAGGAAATTAAACATAAGTGATTGGGAAAGAAGAGCAATTAATAGAGAAGAATGGCGCAGGATCGCCAATCAAGCCATGGGCCTACTAGGGCTGTAGTGCTAGTTTATATACTAAGTGACATATAAATCCGAACACCCAGTTTAAATGGTTTTATTTTAATAAAAGTTGGTGAATGTATTTATCTTACTGTAAATAACAAGTGAAAAAATTATCAGCCTTATCAGTTGGACATTCCGGTTTTTATACTGCTTTTTTTTTAATTCACTAACGCTCTAAAAATGAATATTTCAGCCGCAGTAAAGAATCAACGTTGGCGGATTTTGGTTCTTGACATCTTTTACGATCGGTTACGATGCCTAGAGTACGGAGACCTGTACGATTTCGTCAACTTAGTGAGTTTGATAGGGGCCGTATAGTGGGACTTCGGGAAGCTGGACTTTCTTTTCGGACAATTGCAGTTAGAGTGCAAAGAAGTGTAGACACTGTGGTTAGGTGTTGTCAGGCATGGCTTCGAGAAGGCCGTACGCAAAGAGCAAGGGGCACTGGACGCCGCCGTAGAACAACAGACCGTGAAGATCGGCGCCTAAGATTATTGGCCTTAAGGGACCGTTTCTCCACTACCAGGTCCATTGCAAATGAATGGTTTGCAGAACACGGAAGACCTATTGGCATGCGAAGTGTTTACCGACGAATGAGAAGTTTTGGCTTGTTTTCATACCGGCCACACTGGGTCCTCCCTTTAACTCGAGAACACCGACGTAATCGCCTTGAGTGGTGCAGACAACGGTCACTCTGGGATCAGGAATGGAACAGTATTGTCTTTAGTGACGAGTCTCGATTTTGTTTAGGCATGCACGATGGTCGTGCCAGGGTTAGAAGGCGACGTGGTGAAAGGAGGAATCCACAGTTTTTTGTTGAAAGACATGTTCATCACACTGTTGGAGTTATGGTTTGGGGTGCTATAGCTTGTGGTTCCAGGTCACCTTTAATCTTCATCAGAGGTAACATGAACGCGCAGAGTTATATCCACGAAGTTCTAGAACCCCAACTTTTACCCTATCTTGACACCCTGGCAGATCCAACTTTCCAATAAGATAATGCCCGACCACATGTTGCAAGAGTCACAATAGACTTCTTTCAGCATAATGATGTCACATTGTTACCATGGCCACCAAGATCTCCCGACTTATCCCCAATTGAGCACGTGTGGGATATGATGGATAGAAGATTGCTCAATTTGCTCAGACTCTATAAGCACTTCGAGAGGAGTTGGTGGTTGCCTGGAATGAGATACCACAGGAGGACATTGACCACCTGATCAGAAGCATGCCTAGGCGCGTTGGAGAATGCGTAGCACATCAGGGTGCATCCACACATTATTAAAGGTCAAAGGGCTTTAAAGCAGCGCAATCATTATGAAATTTTTATCATTTACTTATTATGCTTCATTAAGTACTTATACAAAATTTTATTAAAATAAAACCATTTAAACTGGGTATTCGGATTTATATGTCACTTAGTATATATATAAATCATAGCAGATGTTCAAAATATTGTCCGTTATTTTGTAGGGGAAGCCTGACTCTTCTCTGTACACTGTTCATTGCTTCATTTCTCTTGTTCTCAGTCTTGCAGACTCTGTTACTATGTTCAATTTGAGGTCTAGTCTGCTATATGAAACAAATCTGCACCCCAGAGCCAGACTAGGTTAAATCCATTTCTGTCAAAAATGAGTTCAATCTGTTAAGCGTATTATAATAATGTTAATTTTCATTTGCTACATGCAGCATCCATCTATCTGTAATAATAAGGAAGTTACGTCTTTTTAACTCATGTCAAGTCGCATACAGCATAATGCAAGAAAAATATTTCAAATACAATTATCTTAAAACTACTTATTTGGGCTTAACCTAGTCTGGCTCTGAGGTACAGAAATGAAATCTGGTAATTTCAAGGCGTACCTAGGAACATCTGTTTTTTTGAAATAACTGTGGTTTAGCAATGTCATTGTATGACATTATACATTTTGGAAATCAAAATCAAAAACTCTTTTCATCTGCGCAAAAATCCAATATGGCGTCTTTAGGAAAAAATAAAGTTGATGCTAAAAGACAAGAAATGAAGCGTCATATTGAAATCCTAATCATGCCATCTTGTAGAGGAGAGAAAGTGGGACTGTTAATGCGCAGTTGATTTTGAAATCCCACTACAAATAAAGCCAGAAAAAATTAAAACGATTTTGGGAAAATACGTTTTTTCCGTCTCTCTCCGGAAGTATTTTGAATTTCGAAGCTTTCTAAGCGGCATTTTTATTGATTACATAAATACGTCTACATGTACGCGACTTCGTATCTCTTACACTTTCTGAGATCCCAATGGTGAGGGTCGAATTTGAAACACCCTGTATATCATCTTGATCACGAAAAACCATGTCGCTCATTTCCGGCGATCTGTTTCTTCACCAATCCCCTCCATGAAATAGATTGAAAAACTATGTGCACAACATTTATGCAATGTTATAAAGAAGTTACACGTTCTGTATCTTGGTCTCCATTCTTTTTCTGTATAAAAAGTGAATGTAACAAATTAATATATGTCACTAGTGCACGAAGGTATTATTTGAAACCAGTTTGCTTCATTAAAAAGATAAGTCCCTTTATTTGGAGCTCTGAAGACATTTTAGTTTGAAAAGCTTCTAGAGAATTTTCAATGAATAAGTCTCAAGCTATTTAGAACCTTTCCGCTTGTCTACTGTTAATTTTTCGAAAGTGATAACTGTATAACGGCAATGTATTGTCTTCATTGAATTGTATTGGCAAAAGATGAACATGTAAAATCGATAACACAACAAAAAGTTAGGTAAATACTCCAAACATTAAAAAGAAAACGGTCTAATATAATTCATTTTAGCTGAACATTTGTCACCGAGTGACGTCATGCACAATTCGTTTTCAACAAGATGTTATCTTAGCACTTAGTTGTACGTGTTGCCTAAACGTTATGAGGCTTTTTATCAATCTTTGGCTCTGATGTGATGTAAAATCTGCTTCTGAGATGACATTACTGGAGGTCTAAGTTGTAAGTTGTATGTGTTGATGATAATTACATTGGGTTCTTGTCTCAAATTCAAAGCTAGAAATTAGTTGCGCATCCACTTTTTCTTATCCATTCTGGAAATTACATAGAGATAAGAAATAATTATATTCACTGTACACTGTCGAATTACATTTCATATACATGCTAACAGTAATTGCACACAACACGCGCGCGGTGATGATTTCCCGTAATTATCCTCAGTTTTTCGTAATTTATAACTTTGAACGCGCAACAGAAAAATAACCCGTCGGGCACAGCCAACAGATATTCTTCATTAGCAGCATATTCAGTAATGATTTTCTCACACAGCAAATATCACTGACTTTATACACATTCAGACCAATACACATAAATCATCCAGATGCGATCTTGCTATTCAACCAACTTTCTTCTCAG